TAAAAGTATATTTAAAAAAAAAATTAAAATTGTGTTGATTACTGGATAGTATATTATCTAAATGTTTTGTCGATTACCCTTTCAAACAAAAGCATTATTCAACTAGATGAAACCAGACCAAATACGAAGACGAAGATGCGTACAAATATTAATTAGCTCTTATAAAGAATTATCACTAATATATAATATTTTAAACCAAAAAAGACGAATATATATTATTGTGCATAATGGAAGTTTATATAACAAATTCAATATCAATACTTACCAAATCATTATAGCAAAAAAGTTGAAGTTATTTAAAACCACAGTGCAAAATCAAAGTATTTACCAAATTATGTGTACATAATATTTAAAATCATAAGTTAGATAATATGAGCATATTATATTTTTTTTATTATTAGGCAAATCAATTATATAAATATAAACTATTTAACTTACTTATAAATACTATATTAGTTGTGATAATGTAATTTTTAAAATTGAATAACTAAGACCAATTGATTACATAAAAAATATTGAAATTATTAGTATAACAATTGTGTGGAAATTTTAAGGAGTTTGGTTATGTCATAAAAATCAATTAACTATAATTAATAAAAAATTAATTAATGAGCTGAAAAAACAAAAATAATTATGGTCTTAAATAAATGTTTGAAAAAAATAATACTACCTCCTATTCTTTTTAAATGTCATTTTGACTTTATCAACTATTATCCAAATAAATGTTAGTTTTGGATCTTTTGTACATATTTTTTTATTATTACCCACATTTAGCTAATAAATACATTACGTCTTTTAATATTCACTCTTCATTTTTTCCCAAAACATCATTCTCTATCTTCATTAAAGAGAGTTATTATTGACAAAAAAAAAATATCTTTAATTACTGTGCAACTTCTTAAAACGACACTTATTATGAATAGGAGGGAGTAATATTGATTTGTTTTGTTAATAAATACTGTGGCCGTATAATTTGTTATAGGAGTTATTATGTAAGAAAATAAATAAAAAACATCATTACTTGATTAATGAAAATGTAACATTTTTCTGTATTAAATATCTTGCCTACAATTATATAATGTACTCATATATGTAATATGATATAAAATGAACAAAGAAATCCAATTATTGTCTCACACATAAATATTTTTAATCAATAATTTCACACTTAAAAGTATAAAAAAGCATAAAACCCCACTTCACCTTAATCTCTCTTTCCCAAAGCTTCACAAAATTCACGGAAAGCCTCGTTTCAAATTTCCCTTTTTTTCGCAGCTCTCTCTCTCTCTCTCTCTCTCTCTCTCTCTCTCCCCATAAATATTTTTCACATCCCAGCAAAAGGGTTTTCTCAATTTCCAGTCTTTAATGGAAAGCCAAGACCCAGGCAGCAAGAAAACCCTTCGCAGGAGCAGCAACAGCCACCTATCAATGTCCGACACCGAGTCGACAGCGAGTCAGGTCGATTCCTGGCACTCGCCCCTCCGATCCGACTCGCCCTTCCGCTCGGATGACCCTTACTTCCACCACGAGGCCGAAAACCCCGGCAGCAGGAGCGGCAAATCGCTAGCAGTGGCCGACAGGTTCTACTCCCCGGGGCCGTCTCCGGATAAGCCCAACCCGCCGGCGAGCCCCACTGCCGCCGCCGGTAGGGTCAAGGGCTGGCGTCCGTGGCCCCACTCGGAGAAGCTGCCGTCGGGGAACTCCGCCGATTTTCCGGAGAAGAACTCGGCGGTGGTGCTCGGGGTTAATAGGTTGGTGAGGGAGGAGCCGCCGGCGGCGGTGAGGAAGGTGGGCGCGGTTTGGGGCGGCGGCGGCCGGCTGGAGGAAGGGTATGGGGGTGGCGGGGAGGGTCAGTCGAGGGAGGCAGCGGTGGCAGACATATTGAGGCGGTCGGAGAGGAATGTGGCGGTGAAAAAGGTGGCGCTGGTGCTCAGGGTGTTTGAGGTGATGGCTTGTTTGGTTTCGTTTTCGGTTATGGCGGCCGACAAGACTCAGGGGTGGAGTGGAGATTCGTTCGAACGGTATCTCGAGTACAGGTAATAATTTGCTCTGTTTGGTTTTGTGATTCGGTAGTCTGTTTTTATGTTGTGAAGATCATTGAATGCTCTTGTTTGTTTCTGTAAGAGGGTTATGATGCTCGATTTTTATTTTGTGTTGGTTTGTATTCGAACTAACATACGCGGTCCACGCTTAAATGTGGTATTTGTATGAGAGGTTTGTGGAGATTTAGGATGCAATAACAGGTTTGTGGAAAAAAAAATAAAATTACATAATTTGTATTATATTACATTATGGTTCTTGTGAATTAGGGAAAGTTTAGTGAGGAACTGATGCATTTACCAGTATTAGTGTTTATTGAGTTGAATCTCTCTTAAATTCTCATGATGTACCACAAAATAGGCCACTAGCAGTTTGTGGTTGACATTGATTTTAGTTTTATGTTGTGTTTGGTAAGCATATAAGCTAGCTTATAAGCTTCCTGTATTCAAATAAGCTTGGTTTGGTAGGACGAGCTTTTTTAAAAAGCTCGAGTTTATGTCATATGATTCCTTAGGTAGCTTTTCAAATGAGCAAATTGAAATATTTATTTCAGTAGCTAATTTTACCAAACACTTTATCATATAAGCTAGCTTTTCGCATAACCTATAATAACTATAAGCTCGCAATTCACTTGAAAGCTATAAGTTAGGTTTACCAAACATAGCCTTCGTTTACTGATTTTTGAATGAAATCAAACATTATCTATAAATACTATATCTGCATGTCACTAGTCTTGATATTTATTTAACAATAAATGCTTGGGAGATAAAGTGTAATCATAAATGCCATTTTTTGGTAGATAAAGCTTTCCAAATTGTAGTTGAACATCTGATTCCTTTTACATAAAAACTGGAACTGTATATATTGCCGGGCCTTGTCAGTGGATATTCTTCTAGAATTCTCCTTTCAATCATAGAGTGCCTTTTGTCACAAAATTCCAACAATACTATGAGAATCACATCTTTGTCTTAATTTGGTTCTTATTATGTTGCTCTCATCAATTCTTGTACTTGGGCTTCTCAAGTATAATTACACTACTATTGGATTTCAAGGTTCAAGCTGGTCTACTTGTTGCATTTTGCTTATAAAACTATCTCAAAAAATCTGCTGAATAGTAATACATTTTTCATTCTTTTTTTGCAGATATTGTCTAGCTGTGAACGTTATAGGTTTTGTGTATTCTGGTTTCCAAGCGTATTGTCTGGCGTACCATTTGGGCACAGAGAAGCATGTCATCTCGCACCATTTACGTTACCATTTTGATTTTTCAATGGATCAGGCAAGTTATTTTCTGCTCTGTTTGAAGTTTCTTGTGTTCGAAATGAAACAGTAGACAAATATCCCATGATATATGGTGCATTGAGTTCATTTCTTGTTTGGGCAATAGTTTTTATGTAAAGGCTACATTTTTTTCGTATGATCCTAGCTGGGAATTTACGTCATGAATCTATATTCCTCGAATATGATCTTACGGCTGAGATGGTTTTGCACTTGTGCAAGTAAACTGTAAAAGTCCCTTGAAAGTTGAAATTCGTGTCCATTTTTTTATCAGTTGGCATACTCAATAAGAAGGTATTCTAGGGGAAATATTATGTAAGTAGATGAAAATTTGAAGCGAGTCTTTGTTATAATAGGTTGAGGGGGTTAATCGTGATTAATTTCCTGAAGTTTGAATATGGATTTATACACGCAACTAAGCTAAAAATTATGGTCGTTTTTGTGTTTAGTTCCTTTCTCGTTTAGATATTGCATATTATGAGTGACGTTCGTCACTTTCTTCTCCATATTTTTTTTTTGCAGATGGTGGCCTATTTGCTGATGTCAGCATCGTCATCAGCAGCTACAAGGGTGACGGACTGGATTTCAAATTGGGGCAAAGACGAGTTCACAATAATGGCTAGTGCATCAATCGCCATGTCGTTTTTGGCGTTCTTTGCCTTTGCTTTGAGCTCTCTTATTTCTGGTCACAATTTCTACAACCGCCATTCGACTTGATCTCCTTTTCTCTCTCTCTCTCTATAATTTATCGGTATTGGGAATATTTTCTCGAGTATTTAGAAGTGAATATGAAGAATGGTTGTACATATACAGAGAGTGGTTAGTGTAGCAAAATTTTCATGTTTGGCATTGGGGTGAAATTTGTTAATATCGTTAGTTGTTGCGATGAAATAAATGATTTCGCTTTAACGTTTGTTAGTTATTATTTAGTTAACCTACCGAGTTATAGTCATTTGAGCCTGGCTGAGTACACTGTTGGAACTCATGCTTGTTTGAAAAACCGAACCAGCTTGACTTGGCTCGTCTATTGTACGAGCTCGAAAATTTTTGTTTGAGGTTGACTCTTTTGAAATTCAAAGGTAGCGATGTGCATGAGAGCATCTCCAATGCTCCACTTTGAACATTAATTAAATTTGAACACATGTCAAATGATGAATGGAATGTAAATCCATGTAATATGAATGTCAAAAGAGAAGACTTTAATTTGGAATATACATCTCCAATGCATCCCTTTCAAAACCTTAAAATATGTTAGATTTTTGATGAGTTGGCTTTCAAACACTCTTTGGAAAACCAGAAAGTAGGCTTCACACTTTGGATATTTATTGTCTCCATGTCAGCATAAAAGAGTCCATAACATTATGGATTGGAGAGTGATTTTTGTAATCACTTTATAACTTGATGATGTGGTTAACATTTTATTAAGTCAACATCTCACATTGGAGATGCTCTGAGGATGATGTACATCACGATTCGTTCGCGGAAAAAAACACAGTTAACAGTGGCATCTGAAATTTTACATTTTTATCTAGAGGCCAAATTTAGAAACCATCCTTGAGGAAAACAGTTCAAAAGTGCCATTTTCGGAGAAGATTCTGGATTTGATCCCAGAAAATAGAAGTGAAAATCAAGAGAGGAAATGTGGAGAAGGAAGAGAGATACAATGTGTTACGGTTGTTAACGAACCGTATGTTCGCGAACAAAAATTCGTTTGTGTTCGACAAGAGCTAGTTCGTGTATTAATCGAGCCGTGTTTGAATAGAAAATTAGGTCCATTTAATAATCGGATGAACACGATCACGTTAGTGAACATTCGATAATGTTTGTGAACATTAATTTAATGTAATTTTTTTTATTTTTTTTTGTATTTACATGATATTTTTAATAAAAAATCTAAAATATAAAGATACATATTTTTTTTTCTAGTTCAAATGAATGGTTTTCAATTTAATCAATCATATTAAAAAGCTCGTTTTCTAAATTATCCGAACACGAACGAACTCGAATTTTGACGAAAAATTAAACGAACAAACACAAACATTGTTTGTACGTGAACTAACACGAGCTTGAAATGCCCAAGCTCGGGTTGTTTTGGTTCGATCAAAGCACTAGTTTCAAGAAGAAAACCAATTTTATGGGACACGAAAATGTGTTTTAGAATCAAAATGACCTTTGAATAGCTTGACAATTAAATTGAGTATTTTTATATAATAATTATTGAAAAAACTTTAAATATTTAGAGTGCATGCAAATATTTTTTTTCATATCACTACTTCCAGTTCCAGGTTGAAAATGTACGTGGAAAAAAGTTATTTAAGGTATTCGTTCGGTTATAACTTATAATATTAGGTTAAAACTTTTTGCATAAACTGAAAAATTACATGAGATATAAAAAAAAGTACTATATGATTTATCAGTTTTGTTTGTAGTTTTTTTTCTTAAAGAGATGTTAGAAACAACATGCAGCAATTATCAACAACATGACAGTTTGGCCGAGTGGTCTAAGGCGCCAGATTTAGGCTCTGGTCCGAAAGGGCGTGGGTTCAAATCCCACAGCTGTCATCAATAATTTTTTTTTTTTTTTTTTCAAGCGGCCATACCTGATGATCTCTCTTTCTTCATCTTCCCTAGGCAGCGTACGATCGATTTTGTGTTTCTGTTTTTCAATTTCCCCTCTTCTTGTTTTTCTGTTCCCTGTAGAGATTCAGCTGAAGACCAGCCATGGCAGCTCCGTCGGACGCTCCCCCGAGCTCCGCCGGCGAAAACCCCCCAAATCCAGGTTTTTTACTCTTTACGCCTGAACCCTTTTAGTCCAATTCAACCATTTGTTGCTTGGGTTTTTTGTAGTTCTCTTTGAATTCATCTTGTTGAAATTTATTTAGAGTCTGCTGATATATTTGAGGATTGATCATTGAATTAGACGCTCTGAGCCTCTGATAGCTGTTATTCGTTCCAGACATGTCGATTTTTTTGGATTGTGTAGCTAAATATATGTGCTGACCTCCATTATGCACTGTAATTATGAGCCGTCAGCTAATGACTATTGAAAGAAAAAATAATAAAAATTTAAAAGGAAAAGTTGGAAACTTTATGGATTTTTCATCAGCTTATCCCGTAATATTGCGAATCTTGATGTTCCCGTGAATCGCAGTTCCACTGATCACTCAGCCAATTAATGGCAGTGCTAATGATATCTCACGAAAGAGGAGATAGATGAAGCATTTCAACGTGTTCCGGCAAATGGCTTTCCTAATGTTGTATACAAACGAAATCCCTGAGTGTGAATTGAAATTTCTCAGCTTAATGGATGCCTTTTTTTTAAACATCCCAAGTAGCCAGCCGTCACTGGTCATGGTAGTAATATACGACATATCCATCTTTTCTAATGATTATGTGTTCATAATTTTTGAAACTTGGCTTATTCTGTTGATGAAAGTGCAAAGTCTTGTCTTATATTGTTGAGTGCACAAACTCACGAGATGAAGTCAATGTGTAATGCAATACAGAAGCTGGGGAGTGGTAAGAAGTTGTCTCTCATGATCTTTTTCAAAAATATGCTGATTTTGTTATATAAAAGTCTTAGCTAGGGTGCTTAAGATGCTTTTATACAATTTGTTGCTCACTAAAGTTTTCCTATAGACAATAGGTTTAAGCTTGCTACTTTGACTAGCTTACGAAAAAATTAAGTCAATGCGTCCGAAAAACTTAAATGTAGGAAACATATTTTCATCGTAGTATAATGCACAAAAGTTTAAGCATAAAATAAAAAAAAAATAAAAAAAAAAGCCAGAAAATATAGTTGGGATGCATGTTTTGCAGCTGTATTCGAGTCACATTAACTTCACAACCTTCATTCCCCATTGTTTACACTCACTGAAATCTGAATATATTCAAACTTGCATTTGTGTATAATCATTTTTACTGCCAAAATCAGGCCAAAGTGTAAATCAGAGAATTACTCTGGACGAACAGTTCATGGGTGAGCTATTTGCAGTTGTTTGATGAAGATATTTTGAAGCTTTGTCTTATTGTTTATAATTCTTTTGTTTTCAATTTTCATATTCAAAATCTACCCGTATCAAAATCCCCGATTAGCACCAAGGCCAAAGGTTTGCTCTCGAAAGCCTTTTCAATCCTTACCCGAGTCAAGAGAACACCTCAAATTACAAAAATACCCTTCCCACTCGAAACGACCCGGCCCCATGGTGACAGAAACAGAAACGGAGCCCGATAATCACGGAAAGTCGAAACCATCAATGAATCCGCATCCGCCATGTGGCAGCCGAAAAAAAAGTCGACACTTTCGAAGCTCAGTCATTGGAGTTGACCGACGAGCTGCAGAGAATTACGAATAATCAACAATTTTAATTATTTTAGTGTTAACTGTAATTAAAAGATGGTCCTTATCATTTTGGTTGTGGAATAGTTTAGTTTTATTTTATTCTCTTATAGTTTTGTAGTAATTAGGCTAAATGTTATTATTTTTTATTCTATAGTTTGCTGGTCATGTATATTACATGAAAGGTTCAAATATTTGACAATTCTTTTATTGTCTCGTGCACCTTGCCTCCCATATTCTCATTAAATATTATTTTTTTTTTTTAAAAAAATGGTTATTTCTTGGGTTATAGAAAAGTGTGATCTGCTAGATTCTAGGGACCACAATTTCGATATGGTGAAAAAACAAATTTAACAACGACAACGTTGAGATTAGTCGAAATACAAGATGCATTAAATATTTAAATTATGCAAATAATACTTCTTATACTTGAATTTAGCAATCAAATTACAAGATGCATTAAATATTTAAATAATGCAAATAATACTCCCCACACTTGAATTTAGTTCGAATAGGCTCGTTTAATAAGCAAGTTGGATAAGGCAAAAAAAAAATAAAAAATACGGGATTCTATGTAATTTCTTGAACTATTAGTTCGACTTGGTTCGCTAATTTTAATAAATGAAGATTCTATGTAATTTCTTGAACTATTACGATTTGATAAAAAATACGTGAAATATTGTATGCTATTTTATTTTTTAAGGTATCTTACAATTCACCAATAAAATCACCAACTGTTGGGAACTAAACAAAAGCAAACAAGGCCTTTACGATTTGGGCTTGCCACAAGCCCACAAGAGAATAGTAATAATCTTTGCAAAATGAAGAATATTCAACCCACAAATCACAAATATTCCAATAATTATTTCCAAAATTTTCCATCTCACAAAAACTATATTAATAACATGAAGGAATAAAATCATAAAGAATGCTCCACGCAGTTCACGAGATTATGCCTCTTTCCCCACTCATCTCATGCTCCCAAAAAATGTTAAAAAATAAAAATAAAAATCGTGTTTGATAATTAGCATTTTGGGATCAAATAAGAGGTTTTGACATGTCAAACCATGTACCTTTTTTACTATTTTTGAAAAAGCTCAATATATATGTTTTTTTGGAATAGAGAATTGAAATTTAAATTATTTTAAAATATTAGATAAATAATTATTTTTCGATGAGACAAAAGCATATTAAAATCCATTAAAAAACAATTAGTTGGACATATATCATACAATAAATATATAAGTCTAAAGTCTTGCAAGTTTTGAGATTTTTGGCAACTGTACATATTTAAATAAATTAGCTCAATGGTGATAGCTAGTAATTTTAAATACAATATGTTACATTTATCTCAATTTATTATTCATTATAAATACGAAGGTAATTGACATATTTATTTTTACATGCTCAAATAACAAGTAAAACAACATTTATTCGTATGAAAAATAAAATAATTTGATCAATTCCTTATAATTGCCATATTTATGATCAATTCTAAACTTGATTTCTCATTCAATTTAAAATTCCAAGTTTCAATTTTAATTAATTTGATATTCATTAAATAAGATGTCGGGATCATATTGCTCAAACTTTGAAACTAATGCCATTGAAATTTATTTATTTACTCTAGAAAAAGAAAAAGAAAATGAGTTTGTGCTAAAATTCTGCATGAAAAAAAAAGTGAAAATAAATAAAATGAGAAAACTTGTTAATTGGTGTCCTTTTCAACTTACAATAATCTTGACACAATGACACCTCAGAGCTCCTTTTTAAGACTCGAAGACGGACACCTAATGTGTCTTTGTACACAGAAAATGTTGCTCCTTTTCATAGGCTCTTTCCAAAGCCCAGAGTGCTCTTAGCTTTTCCCATTCTTGAATTAATCAGAGTTAGCTTACATTTTTCAGCTTTTCACGCAACAGTGTGTGTTCTTGATAAGCTATGGCCTTGAATTTGCTGTCTCCAACTGAAATCAAGACACTTTCTTTCCAGAACTACTCCAAATCGAATTGCAGCCTTAATCTCCTCAAGCCCCAAGGTAATAATTTACACTTTCATTTTTGTAGGGTTTAAAGATTTGGGCTTTTCTAAAATTGTGAATATTTGTGCCTTTTGATGTGGGGCATGACTTATGACTTGATGATAAGTTGTGTTTGGATAAGAAGTGTTGGTAAAAAAGTGGTCTTTTTTTTTTTGGTTTTGTTTTTATTCTTTTGTTTTTATTCTAAGAACTTGCACATGTCTTTATCGACCTTGAGAAGGCTTATGACAGAGTACCGAGAAATGTCATGTGGTGGGCCTTAGAAAAGCACAAAGTTCCATCTAAGTACATTACCCTCATCAAGGATATGTACAAGGATGCGATGACGTGTGTCCGAACATGTGGGGGCGACACCAGCGACTTCCCAATTAAAATAGGACTACACCAGGGGTCAACATTGAGTCCTTATCTATTTGCCTTGGTGATGGATGAGGTCACAAGGGATATACAAGGTGATATCCCTTGGTGTATGCTCTTTGCTGATGATGTGGTGGTAGTTGACGAGAGTAGAGCAGGGTAAATAGGAAGTTGGAGCTGTGGAAGGACGGGTTAGAGTCGAAAGGCTTCAGACTTAGTAGGACGAAGACCGAGTACATGACGTGCGCTTTCAGCATGGCTTCACATGATGATGGTGCCGTTACCCTTGACGGGCAAGTGGTGGCCAAGAAGGAGACTTTTCGGTATTTGGGATCGATGATACAAAATGATGGCGGCATTGATGGTGATGTTAGGCATAGAATTGCAGTCGATTGGTTGAAATGGCGTCAGGCGTCGAACGTTCTCTGTGATAAGAGGGTGCCACAAAGGCTAAAAGGTAAGTTCTATAGGACGGCGATTTGCCCGGCGATGCTATATGGTGCTGAATGTTGGCCTACAAAAAGGCAACATGTCCAACAACTAAGTGTAGCAGAGATGCGTATGTTGCGTTGGTTCTGCGGGCACACAAGAAGGGATAGAATCCGGAATGAGGATATTCGAGATAGGGTCGGGGTGGCTCCAATTGAGGAGAAATTGGTTCAACATCGGCTGAGGTGGTTCGGACATGTCCAACGGAGGCCTCCTGATGCACCGGTGCGTAGGGGAGTTCTACAGCGGGTCGAGGATGT